CTTAGATTCTCCAGCATCTGCAGTTCCTACTATCTGTGAAGTTATAGTTATCTGTTTTTGTCTGCCTCCCTTTTAGATTAAATGTGTTACACTGACACTTTTCCAATCTTCTGGAAATTTTCCCAAATCTGAGGAGTCTTGGAAGGTTACCACCACTATTGCCACCATTACACTCTGTATCTCCATAATTATTTCCTTTAAAATCCTCGGATGCAATGCATCAGGCCCAAGAAATTTATTGGCCTTTAGCCCAATTAATTTTCCTAGTCCTTTTTTCTCTAGTTGTAGTTTTATTGTATTTATTTCCCCTTCCCCCAATAATATTCTCAGGAATGGTGAAGTCCAACACTGTATTAACTAACCCAGCACCAGTTAGGCACAAAGCAACTCATAAATTGATTGCTTCTTTTATGTTACATCAAATCATAGACCAACATCGAAATTAGTTTTGAAACCTGATTAAAACTGGCTGGAATATTCCTGTGCTTATATAGGGAATTATTAATTCTGTGAGATATAATTGTACGAATTTCAACAGTTCTTAAAGTCATCAGACCAATAAATGATACCTCGTGAAACATATCTTGTAGAGTTGGCAACTTTATCTCTGCCAATTTAACCACTGCCAGATAAACCAGGTCCTGGTGCAGAAATATCCAGATGTCTGTGAGTTTGTGTCCTAGCTAAATACATGAATTGGAAAGCAAATGTATTCAAATAGCTCTAAACAAAATATTCCTCAGGATTGCCTTGCATATTTATCTGACCTTTCTTTCTCATTTCTCTCCTTCTCCGTCTTTAGAGTCAGTACAAATCCCAAGGCAACCAACTGATCCCAGATGCACCAGCAGAACAGGCTCTGGTCTACCAGAGAATGTTTGAGGTTCTAACTCTGCATCAGAAGATGGGTAAGTTCCTCATCCTGAGCCATTGTGTCACTGTTGCAGTTCATTCAGCCTGGGCAACTTGATCATGTTCTGGTCAGGGGTTGGAGGCAGTGGTGGAGTTGTTGTGGGATCTGGAATATTGTTAACAAGGGTGATGAGGTGGAAGGAATGTGTGTTGGGAGGGTGGGGTGGTGCTGGATATTGTTGAGGGTAATGAGGTGTGGGTTGCAGGAAGCGAAGAGTGATGGAGAAAAGGCAGGTGAGGGGGAAACAAGGAGAGAATGAGCCAGGAAGGAGGTGAAGGGGACTGGGGAAAGTGGGGTACAAAAAGCAGAGGATGATCAAGCAGAAGGAAAGGAGGGTAAGGTGGCAGAGGAACATGTAGGGATGGGGAGCATTGGATGGCAAGGGAGGGTAAAGGTGGTGGAACAAGATAGAAGGGGAAGGGAGGATAATGAACATAGTGAAGTGGAGGGGTATTCAGAAACCCACTTGCATGGTGACTGCACACAACACACTTTGTTCAGAATGAGAACAAGAAGAGATTCCATGAAGTAAGGATCCAAACAGCATATAAGAGCAAGGACGTAATGTTGGAGTTGTACGGTGCATTGCTGGAGCACTGTGTGCAATTCTGTTCACTTCACTACAGGAAGGATGTGATAGCACCAGACGGGGTGAGAGGAGGTTTACCAGAATGTTGCCTGGGATGGAGAAATTGAGCTATAAGGAAAGACTATATAGGCATGGATTGTTTTCTTTTAGAGCGGAGAAGACTGGGGAGGAGGGGGAGGATGTGGTGGTGGTGGTGATGTTGGCACGATTGAGATATACAAGATTGAGGGGTATGCACAGGGTGAATAGAGAACAGCTGTTTCCTTTGGTTGAGAGGTCAGTCACGAGAGGGCATTGTTTTAGGATAAGGGGAAAGGGACTCGGAGGGAAGATGGGCCAAGTGCAGGAAATTGGGATTGTGTGCCTTTCATGGTAGTTTCGTGGCTGACTCGATGGGCCGAAAGCCTGTTCTGCACTGTATGAAGCTATGAATCTATGAAATGGTTCACGAGACATAGTCCTGTCTCCATCAATTCCTTGAAGCTGGACCTAGCTCCAGCCTATCAGGCCTCAGGAGTCCCTCATACAACCTTTCTCAGCAATGTTCAGCAAACACTTCTGGTCCAGAAAATTGTATTTGGGTGTACACGGCCTTCCCAGTTGGGAGTTGATTATTAGAAAAGGCAACGGAGTTGTTTATCCTCGTCCCTATTGCAGGACATGTTTTAATTTGACAGTAAGCAGTGAGTAACTTACACACATAACAATGAAACTGTTACAGTTTGACAGTATCTAGTGGGGAACAGGTTTCTCAATGTACTGGGGAGCAGAACCCATTCTAATTTCATTGTTATTGTATCTGCAGCTGATTATGCGTTCTACAATTGGAGGGTCCCAGAACCAGAGCGACACGAAAGTGCACTGGCAAGAAATAAAGCTGCATTGACATCCGAGTTTACCCTCTGGGAAGGATATCTGGGGAAGGTAGGTTCCTTATCTCAAAAAGAACTGCGATACAATGAGCAGCAAATGATGCGTCAGTATAGAGTGGGGGTTATAACTGACCTGTAGCATTGTATTCAGCTTGACACACTGCACCTTAGGGAGGAGAGATGAGCTTTGGAGGATACTTAGCACAGATTCAATTAAATGATATTCACTGACTGCACAAACAAGGCCCGTATCCCCCATAATTGACACCTTAGAAGGCTGAAATAACTGAAGGGCCTAAAATCAGAAAAGGAGGTGGGAGAGAGAGTATCCTGTGTTCAGGGAGTTGAAAATGAGGTGGTGCATTTTTTTTTTAAATATAGAATTCCTACAGTGGAAACAGGCCATTCAACCCAACAAGTCCACACTAACTCTCTGAAGAGCATCCCCCAAAAACTCATTTTCCACCCCTCCCTTCCCCCAACCCTATCCCTACATTTCCCATGGCAAATCCACCTAACCTACATATCCCTGAACAGTATGGGCAATTTAGCATAGCCAATCCACCTAACCTGCACATCGTTGGATTGTGGGAAGAAACCGGAGCACCCAGAGGAAACCCATGCAGACACGCAGAGAATGTGCAAACTCCACACAGGCAGTCGCCAGAGGGTGGAATTGAATCCAGGTCCCTGGCATTGTGAGGCAGCTGTGCTAACCACTGAGCCACCATGCTGCCCATTTTTCAGATCAAAGTTAGCCATTTCGGAATGAAATAAGACAACACTTCATTTTACGTTTTCCAAACTGAGATTGCAAAATTTTAGCTGAGCTAGATTTGTTTTATATTTGCTTATGGGTACTTCTGGCAGACCATTTATTGTCCATTTCTAGTTGCCCTTGAGAAGGTGGTCTGAAGCTTCCTCCTTGAACCACTGTGGTCTTTTAGTTAGGAATACCCAAAATGTCATTTGGGTGGAATTTCCAGGATTTTGACCCAACGACACTGAAGGAACAGTGATATATTTCCAAGTCAGGATGATGTGTTAATGGGAAGGGAATTTTCATGGGGTGGGTATTCCCATGTATCAATTGCCCTTGTCCTTCTAGATGATAGTGGTCATTGGTTTGGAAGGTACTGTCAAAGGAGCCTTGGTGAGTCACTGCAGTGCATCTTCTAGATGGTACAGACTGCTGGTACTGAGCATCGATAGTGGAGGAAGTGAATGAGATGGATGAAGGCCAGTTAATTGGATAATATGTGAATGTCTAGTTTGCCACAGAGAGCTACTTGTCCTCAGCCATCACCTTCGCCACCTCTGGACACTAAAGGAGTGATTAACATCCCAGCCCGGAGATGAGGACCCTCTCTCTCCATTGTGCTGTGTTGCTGAATGGGATAGGTTCAGAACAGATCTCACATCTCAAAACTGGGCACCAAGGGACTTAGACTGACCAATCCCATTTCACCCAGTGAGAGGTCAGAAATGGAGACTGACCAATCTAGTTTCTCACAATGGGAGCAATGGGTCTGAGATTGACCAATCCTGTTTCACACAGCAAGAGGAATGTGATTTGAAACTGACCAATCTTATAAGACTAAGTTTCCTGCAGTCAGTTGGCAAGAGACTTTCATCCCATTGGCCTGGACTGACTTCAAAACAATGCCTTGGATATGATTGGCACAATATAATATAGTACAATACAATGCAGCACAGGAACAGACTCTTTGGCCCACCATGCCTGCATCGATTTCTAATCCTTATTTAGACCTGCTACTTATTGCTCAAATGTGGTTTCCATTCCTCTGTTCACCTCGTGTTCATGTGTCTATCAAGATACATCTTAAACACTGCTAACGTGCCTGCTTGCATCACCACTGGCAGTGCATTCCAGGCATCCAACACCCTCTCTATGAAAAAGATTTACCTGCACTTCTTCCTTAAATTTAACCCCTCTCACCTTGAATCTGTGCTGTTGTAGTTGACCTTTCCAACCTGGTCAAAAGCCTCTGACCATCTACTCTATCTATGGCTCTCATAATTTTGTAGACCTCTATCAAGTTGCCCCTCAGCTTCTGTCTTTCCATGAAAACAATCAATCTGAGTTAATCCAACTTCTCCTCGTAACTAAAACCCTCCTGACCAGGCAACATCCTGGTAGACCTTTTCTACATCCCCTCCAAAGCATCCATGTCCTTCTGGTAGTGTGGTGACCAGAACTATGTGCAATATTCCAAATGTGGCCTAACTAATGAGAGTAATTCTTATGTCATTCAGTTACATGTGCTGTGGTATTCCCGTATACGAATCCAAAGTTCTGTTGTAGTTTTGCAGGCTGAACCTTGGCAGCACAGTAATTGGGGCATGAATCATCATCTTCAGTAATCTGCAATCTATCTAGTGTATGATGGCAGATTGTTACCATCTTTAATGTTTTGCTTAAATTTAAACTTGCCTTCATTTTCTTTTTACTGATGGGTGTATATAATTATGGATGGAATCTTCTGGGAGCTTATCAGTTTCTGCATTGAGTAAAACTGTGATGACACTCCTTCTGTTTCCTCTTGGCATTCAACTGCAGAGGGAATAGGAATTGCTTTTGATCTAATTGTTGGCAAATTGGGTTTCTGTTACTGTCTGTTCCATCTGATTCCATTCCCCTCTGCTGGGGTCATTCTATAAGCAGTTCCAGGCAAAACTGATGGCAGTAGATCCTCAGGGTTTAGAACATAGAACAGTACAGCACAGTACAGGCCCTTCGGCCCATGCTGTTGTGCCGACCTATTATCCTACGAAGATCAAACTATGCTGCATACCCTACATTATACTATCATCCATGTGCCTATCAAAGAGTCGCTTAAATGTCTGTAATGTATCTGACTCCACTACCACCGCCGGCAGCACATTCCACGCAACCACCACTCTCTGTATAAAGAATCTACCTCTGACATCTCCCCTATACCTTCCACCAATCACCTTAAAATTATGCCCCCTCGTAATAGTCATTTCCGCCCTTGGAAAAAGTCTCTGGCTACCCACTCTATCTATGCCTCTCATCATCTTGTTCACCTCTCATCCTTCTTCGCTCCAATGAAAAAAGCCCCAGCTCCCTCAACCTTTCCTCATAAGACTTGCCCTCCAGTCCAGTCAGCATCCTGGTGAATCTCTTCTGCACACTCTCTAAAGCTTCCACATCCTTCCTATAATGAGGCAACCAGAACTGAACACAATATTCCAAGTGTGGTCTAACCAGGGTTTTATAGAGCTGTAGCATAATCTTGTGGCTCTTAAACTCAATTCCCCTGCCAATGAAAGCCAACACACCATATGCCTTCTTTACAACCCTATCAACATGGGTAGCAATTTTGAGGGATCTATGGGCATGGACCCCAAGATCCCTCTGTTCCTCCATCCTGCCAAGAATCCTGGCATTAACCCTGTATTCTGCATTCAAATTCACCCTTCCAAATGAATCACTTCACATTTTTAACTTGCACTTTAACTTACGCTTAGAATTGGAACTGACTGACAGAGAGAGCTAATATTTTTGATTTGTCAGTGAACAAATATAATCTCTCTGTTTTGTTTTCAGATGGGACCCCAATCATATATAGCGGGGAAAAACTTCACCATGGCTGATGTCATGCTGTTCCCACACCTGGCCCTCTGTGTCCGATTTGGGTAAGTCACTGACTGTGTTTGTTTTATTGTTGAATGTGAAATATCTCCATAGAAACGCCTGTCTTGGATCAATATTTCAGTGGGTTAGCTACAGTACACACTGCTGGCAAGGCTCTCCAGGAATATGAAGGAAGCAGAAAATAATTTAAACAAGAAATTAGGAAGACTAGAAGGAGCCATGGAGTATGCTTGGCAAATAGGAGTAAGGAGAATACCCAGGCATTTTATATGTTCGTTAGGAGCAAGAGAGTAACTGGGAAAAGGGTAGGTCCACAACAAGGCAGAGGAGGTGGGTGAAATCCTTAATGAGTACGTCACATTGGTATTCGCCAAGGAGAAGGACATACATGATGGTGAGATTGGGGAGTTGTCTGTTGAAATTCTGGGGTATGTCGATATTAAGAAGGAGGAGGTGTTGAGTGTCTTGAAAAACATTAAGGTAGATAAATCCCCCAGGGCCTGATGGGATCTATCCCAGGATATTGAGGGAGGTAAGGGAAGAGATTACTGGGGCCTTGACTGATATCTTTGACTCCTCTTTAGCCACATGAGGCCCCAGAAGACTGGTGAATGGCAAGTGTTGCTCCGTTGTTTAAGAAGGGCAACAGGGATAATCCAGGAAATTATAGGCCAGTGAACATTACATCAGTGGTCAGGAAGTTATTGGAGAAGGTTATTCAGGGATAGGATTTATTCTCATTTGGAGAAAAAAGGACTTTTAGGGATAGTCAGCATGGCTTTACATTGGGAGGTTTTGTCTCAAACTTGATTGAGTTTTTTTTTGACGAAATGAAGATGGTTTGAGGGTAGGGCAGTAGATCTTGTCTACGTGGACTTTACAAGAACATTTGACATGGACACTGCAAGAGGCTAGAGAAGAAATCGCAGGGACCCTGGCTGATATATTTGCATCATCATTAGCCACGGGTGAGGGCCCAGAAGACTGGAGGGTAGCGAATGTTGTGCCCTTATTCAAGAAGGGCTGCAAAGAAAAACCTAGGAATTATAGACCTGCACATCTGCTAATGCGGTATACTGCATCCATTGTTCCCGTTGTGGCCTCCTCTACATTGGGGAAACTAAGCGGAGCCTTGGGGACCGCTTTGCAGAACACCTACGCTCAGTTCGCGACAAATGACTGCACCTCCCAGTCGTGAACCATTTCAACTCCCCCTCCCACTCCTTGGACAACATGTCCATCCTGGGCCTCCTGCAGTGCCACAACAATGCCACCCGAAGGTTGCAGGAACAGCACCTCATATTTCGCTTAGGAACCCTGCAGCCCAATGGTATCAATGTGGACTTCACAAGCTTCAAAATCTCCCCTCCCCGACCGCATCCCAAAACCAGCCCAGCTTGTCCCCGCCTCCCTAACATGTCCTTCCTCCCACCTATCCACTCCTCCCACCTCAAGCCCCACCCCCATCTCCTACCTACCAGCCTTATCCCGCCCCCTTGACCTGTCCGTCCTCCCTGGACTGACCTATCCCCTCCCTAACTCCCCACCTACACTCACCTTTACTGGCTCCATCCCCGCCTTTGAGCTGTCTGTCTCCTCTCCACCTATCTTCTCCTTTATCCATCTTCTATCTGCCTCCCCCTCCCTCCCTATTTATTTCAGAATCCCCTTCCCCTCCCCCATTTCTGAAGAAGGGTCTAGACCGGAAACGTCAGCTTTCCTGCTCCTGTGATGCTGCTTGGCCTGCTGTGTTCATCCAGCTCTACACCTTCTCCAGCATCGGCAGTTCCCACTGTCTCTGAATTATAGACCAGTAAGCTTAACATCTGGAGTAGGTAAGTTACTTGAGAAGATTCTGAGGGATAAGATATACATGCATTTAGAAAGACAGGAATAAGTTAGAAGTAAGCAGGGTAGCTTCGTGTGCGGGAGATAATGCCTCACAAATTTATTACAGTCCTTTGAGGGCAGGGTGGTAGACGTAGTCTGCATGGATTTCACTAAGGCCTTTGATAAGGTTCCACACATGGTAGGCTGCTCTGGAAGGTTAGATTTCATGGAATCCAGGGAGAATCGGCATATTGGATACACAATTGGCTTGATGGTAGGAAGCAGAGTAATAGTGGAAGGATGCTTGTCAGACTGGAAGCCCGTAACTAGTGGTGTGCCTCAGGGGTTGGTGATGAGCCTATTGCTGTTTGTTGTCTATATCAATGATTTGGATGCAAGTGTACAAGGCATGATTAGTAAGTTTGTGGATGACACTGAAATCGGTGGTATCATGGACAGTGAGGAAAGTTATCAGAAATTGCAGCAGGATCTTGATCAGCTGGGGAAGTGGGTCAAGAAATGGCAAATGGAGTTTAATATAGATAAGTGTGAGGTGTTGCACTTTAGAATGTCAATTCAAGGTAGGAGTTTCATGGTGAATGGTAGGGCCTTAAGGAGTGTAGTGGAACAGAGGGACGTTGGAGTTCAGGCGCACAGTTCTCTGAAAGTGGAGTCATAAACAGGCCAGTGAAGAAGGTGTTTGGCACACTGGTCTTCATCAGTCAAGACATTGAGTACAGAAGTTGCAGAATTATGTTGCAGTTGTACAGGACATTGGTGAGGCCGCACTTGGAGTATTATGTCCAGTTTTAGCTACCTTGCCATAGAAGGGATGTTATTAAACTGGAAAGAGTGTAGAAGAAATTTTCAATCATGTTGCCAGGATTCAAGGGACTGAGTTATAGGGAGATGTTGAACAAGTTTGGACCTTTTTCTTTCGAGTGTAGGAGACTGGGGGGTGGGGGTGCGGGGAATCTTGTAGAAATGTCTAAGAACATGAGAGGCATGCACAGGGTGAATGCACTCATTCTTTTTCCCAGGGTTGAGGAATTGAGGACTAGAGGGCATCAGTTTAAGGTATGAGGGAAAAGAGGCAGAAATTCAAGGAGCTAGGGTGGAAGCTTAGAGCTAGAACAGAGTTGTTATCTCTGGTTTGTTACCCGTGCCACGTGCTAGCGAGGCGAGGAATAGGGAGAGAGAGCAGTTGAACACGTGGCTACAGGGATGGTGCAGGAGGGAAGGATTCAGATACCTGGATAATTGGGGCTCATTCTGGGGTAGGTGGGACCTCTACAAACGGGACGGTCTACACCTGAACCAGAGGGGTACCAATATCCTGGGGGAGAAATTTGCTAATGCTCTTCGGGAGGGTTTAAACTAATTCAACAGTGGGATGGGAACCTGAATTGTAGCTCCAGTGTACAGGAGGTTGAGAGTAGTGAGGTCATAAATAAGGTTTCAACCCTATCACAGGAGTGTACCAGCAGGCAGGAAGGTGGTTTGAAGTGTGTCTACTTCAATGCCAGGAGCATCCGGAATAAGGTGGGTGAACTTGCAGCATGGGTTGGTACCTGGGACTTCGATGTTGTGGCCATTTCGGAGACATGGATAGAGTAGGGACAGGAATGGTTGTTGCAGGTTCCGGGGTTTAGATGTTTCAGTAAGATCGGGGGAGGTGTGGCATTGTTAGTCAAGGACAGTATTACGGTGGCAGAAAGGACGTTTGATGACAACTCGTCTACTGAGGTAGTATGGGCTGAGGTTAGAACCAGGAAAGGAGAGGTCACCCTGTTGGGAGTTTTCTATAGGCCTCCGAAAAGTTCCAGAGATGTAGAGGAAAAGATTGCAAAGATGATTCTGGATAGGAGCGAAAGTAACAGGGTAGTTGTTATGGGGGACTTTAACTTTCCAAATATTGACTGGAAACGCTATAGTTCGAGTACTTCAGATGGGTCATTTTTTGTCCAATGTGTGCAGGAGGGTTTCCTGACACAGTATGTAGATAGGCCAACAAGAGGCGAGGCCACATTGGATTTGGTACTGGGTAATGAACCAGGCCAGGTGTTAGATTTGGAGGTAGGAGAGCACTTTGGTGATAGTGACCACAATTCGGTTACGTTTACTTTAGCGATAGAAAGGGATCGGTATATACCGCAGGGCAAGAGTTATAGCTGGGGGAAAGGCAATTATGAGGCGATGAGGCAAGATTTAGGATGCATAGGATGGAGAAGGAAACTGCAGGGGCTGGGCACAATTGAAATGTGGAGCTTGTTCAAGGAACAGCTACTGCGTGTCCTTGAGAAGTATGTACCTGTCAGGCAGGGAGGAAGTGGTCGAGCGAGGGAACCGTGGTTTACTAAAGAAGTTGAATCTCTTGTCAAGAGGAAGAAGGAGGCTTATGTAGAGATGAGGTGTGAAGGCTCAGTGAGGGCGCTTGAGAGTTACAAGTTAGCCAGGAAGGACCTAAAGAGAGAGCTAAGAAGAGCCAGGAGGGGACATGAGAAGTCTTTAGCAGGTAGGATCAAGGAAAACCCTAAAGCTTTCTATAGGTATGTCAGGAATAAAAGAATGACTAGAGTAAGATTGGGGCCAGTCAAGGACAGTAGTGGGAAGTTGTGCGTGGAGTCCGAAGAGATAGGAGAGGTGCTAAATGAATATTTTTCGTCAGTATTCACACAGGAAAAAGACAATGTTGTCGAGGAGAATACTGAGATACAGGCTATTAGACTAGACGGGATTGAGGTTCATAAGGAGGAGGTGTTAGCAATTCTGGAAGGTGTGAAAATAGAGAAGTCCCCTGGGCCGGATGGGATTTATCCTAGGATTCTCTGGGAACCGAGAGAGGAGATTGCAGAGCCTTTGGCTTTGATCTTTATGTCGTCATTGTCTTCAGGAATAGTGCCAGAAGACTGGAGACTAGCAAATGTTGTCCCCTTGTTCAAGAAGGGGAGTAGAGACAACCCTGGTAATTATAGACCAGTGAGCCTTACTTCGGTTGTGGGTAAAGTGTTGGAAAGGATTATAAGAGATAGGATTTATAATCATCTAGAAAGGAATAATTTGATTAGGGATAGCCAACACGGTTTTGTGAAGGGTAGGTCGTGCCTCACAAACCTTATTGAGTTCTTCGAGAAGGTGAACAAACAGGTGGATGAGGGTAAAGCGGTTGATGTGGTGTATTTGGATTTCAGTAAAGCGTTTGATAAGGTTCCCCATGGTAGGCTATTGCAGAAAATACGGAGGCAT